AGAGAGAGAGAGAGAGAGAGAGAGAGAGAGAGAGAGAGTGCACATAATTTACATTTTACTTTTTTGCAAAAATATATTATTTGTTGGAACTAAGTTGGAAAAATAAATGTGAAGGTCAATTAAATTACAAAACATGAGGTAAAGCTCTCCTTTTTAATTTAAATGGCACATTTTTAATTGTATTTATTAATTAGCTGTCTGTCTGTATATATATACATTTTACTTTTTTGTAAAAATATATTATTTGTTGGAACTAAGTTGAAAAAATAAATATGAAGGTCAATTAAATTACAAAACATGAGGTAAAGCTCTCCTTTTTAATTTAAATGGCATATTTTTAATTGTATTTATTTAGTTAGCTGTCTGTCTGTCTGTCTGTCTGTCTTGTCTGTCTGTCTGTCTGTCTGTACACACCTCCGTACTGCAGAAGCCTGACAATCACCCATTCATTCAAATCAGGTGCGTTTGAGCAGAGAAAAAGGTAAAACATGCAGGGCTGCGGCCCTCGAGGACCAGGATTGCCCACCCCTGCTCTAAAGCAAAATGAGGGAAAATCTGTGTCAATTACAGACATTCTGTTCACGTGAGCAGCTGTCAGTCAGCACCTGTCCTCCTCCAGACACACGACGGAGCGTGTCTGAACCAATCACTTTTGTTGGCATTGATAAGCTGACTGATTTAAATACATCTTAACATTCATGAGGTACTTTACATTGACTGTTTATGGTTGAATGTGGGCGTGTAGAGGGTAGAACCTGAGGCAGGACCTTGTGCTCAAACTCTGATGTGCGGCTGTGATTTATAAAGGAAAGATGTGCAGAAACGTGCATACGCACTGTTTTATAAATCTGAATTTTTTTTGGCGTACGCCATTTCCGCCTTTTGGTTGTACGTTCAGTTTTAGTATGGTTTCTATGCAATCCTTTATAAATGAGACCCCTGTTCTTTGTCGCCCACCTGTAGATTTTGCGGTGAAATCGATCACACCAGAAAACACGGTTGTTGGCCACATCCAGGTCCAGAGCCACAGCGTTCTTCTGGGTCGACACAACCTGACTGTACTCCCTCTTCACCAGGTCAATGCGGCGGATCTCATGTCGGTTAGTGAACAGTAAATAAGGGCTTTTTCCTGAATGGGAAAAAAATGAAGATTGATTTGTTGTTCTTTTGGTGGCAGCTGGTATAAATACAAACACACAATCATAGTCGACACGTGGATTAATTTAGTCTAAAGTAAAACGGTTGTGCCAAAGCAGCTCATGCAGTCACTGTTAGGAGGAAAACTTTTATTAACTCTATTGATGTTCATTAGAATCAGCTTGAACTGTTCAGTGGAGAGCAGAGGAAAAGATCAATCAGTATCCCTCGTTAGAAAACCACTCAGCAAATAATTTGTAAACAGTTCCATTAATTTAAATCAAAACAGGAAGAATATGAAGTGTAACAAATCATTTGAAACCTTCTCTACTGGGATTGATTTATTATAGGAAAAAAAAAACAATGAACTGCAAAATAAATGTGCTTGTTAAAAAATGCAATAAGGTTCTGTATCTTGGCTGTGAACAATAATCATCTTACCTGCTGTAGAAAACTCTCTGAATGGCCTCAGTTTTGAAACCCAGAGTTTTTTTTCTGACAGGATGAGCTAATGGCTAGTCTGAAAAAAGCCATAACCAGAGCTGATTGCTGCTGTTTTAAAGCATGTGTGTCATAAAATATGTTTATTTTTTAGTTGCTTTGTTGTTTATTTTCTTGTGCAGTTAGCACAGAAGCAGCTAGCTGTAGCATTTCTAATGCAATTTAATAATAAGGACTTTCATATTATTCTGACAGAGACATTTACAAAACAGATTTGAACGTTAATGTTTGCACAAACCAGTATGAAATTTAAAAGACTGAAGTTGTGAGACGAACACTCAACAGGTCTCCAATACGTTTCAACATAGAAAGTCAATTTTGTCGTCTTAAATTGACTTTTAAAGTGGTTCATGTAAACATTACTCTTTAAAACAACATTCCTGTTCATTTCTAATTACCGTGTTTTTCGGACAATAAGCCGCGACTTTTTTCCTGAACTTTGAACCATGCGGCTTATAGTCTAGTGCGGCTTATACGTGGATTTTTTTCTTCAGCCACCAGGGGGCTCTTATGCTGCATTTGCTTCAACCACTCGCTTCAAAAAAGAAAGGGAAAAAAAATAAGAAAAAAGCGATCGCTTCCAGACCCGACTGTTGTACCAGAAAGCAGCGATTCAAAGATAGTCAATGGCCAAAAACTCATAAAAGGGGATAAAACAGACATTTTTCACAGTGGAATCTGACTGATAAAAACTTTGGAGCTWAATCCAGGACCAGTTTGTGGATAAACGTCGAGTGAAGAGCTGCTGACATTTTTCTTTTCGGCATTGCACTCCCCGGGGAAGGAATCCCATGCAGTGACGTATGCTGGAGCAGGAGGGCTTTCCCAGCAGCTGGGCTCTGGGTTTCTCGGGGGAACTATGAAAGGTCAGTGCGAAAAGAAATGCCAAACAACCACGTGACGGCGCATCGACCGGTCGACAGCCAAGCGACCATACTGCCAGCTCAGCCGGAGGTGTAGCGCTATTTTGTTTTAGCTAGTAGCAGACACGACACGATGGATCTTCGACAGACACGATATTGGACAGTATGCAGGTCCACATCACGGATTCGGTGAAAGCAGCCATCAAGAAAAGAAATTCAATTCCTGCTGTTATTCCTGGAGGAAGTTTTTGCAACCCCTGGACATCAGTGTGAATCGTGCATTTAAAGCAGCACTCAGGGCTGAATGGGAGGCTTGGATGACTGACGGGGATAAATCATTCATAAAAACTGACCAAATGCGAAGGGCGTCATTTCCTGATGTCTGCCAGTGGATCCTAACAGTGGAGCAGAGTGAATGAGTCCACCATCACCAATGGGTTCTGAAAGGCTGGACTGCTACGTGAAGAGGACATCACAGCTTCAGAGCCAGCATTACCCCGGGAGGACAGCGACACAGAAAGCAGCAATGAACAGATACCACTGTGTGACGCAGCTTTTCTCAGCTTAACTCCGACACTGAAGAGGAAGACTTCGATGTTTTCAGTGCGCCGGAGGACGATGAATGAGACGTTTTGTTGGACTAGAAACTGTTAAAGAAAACCAACAAAATAAGGTCAGTTAAATGAACCGTATTCCTCCGAACTTTAAYTCCTAAAGGTTTGCTTTTTATGTTTTGATGTTGAATTCATTTTTTGACGACAATTTTGGGTGTACTGTTTCTTTATTTTTGTGTTGGGGGTGCGGCTTATAGTCCGGTGCAGCTTATAGTCTGAAAAATACGGTACTTGCTAGTTTTAGCACAACATATTGCCAAATTCCAGCAGCATGGGAAGCGCTACAGCTAGCTGATGCTGCCACTGCTAGCAAATTATCACATTTTATGTTTTGTTTTGTAAATCCTTGTTTACTGAGAAAGCGATGGTGGTGCAAAGTGCTAAAACATCTAATAATATTAGTTAGTTATATGTAAACAAAGTCCCACTTCAAATGGCCGACTCCTCTCTTTAATATTTAAGCTAAGTGTCAGAGAATGATTTAGACATGTCTTTGTATTAAAAACATGTGGCTTCCACAAAGAGTGAAAGCATTACTGCAGCTTAATGATGTTCACCTTCACTGCACTTAAATCAATATTTTAAACATCACTGTTTATACTGGCTTTAATAAACAGGCCTGTACACCGCTGACAGGCCATCCCCGACAATAATCCTGGACTGAAATGGCTAAACAGCTGAGTATTGATGTGTGTTTACACATTATTAAGAGCTCTTTGACATCTTCACCTGGAAGTATAGATCTGAGGTACCTTTGAATCAGACGATAGCTCTTTAAACAACAAGCTGTCAACTTTTACACAGCCGATAAAACTAAAGGGATGAAAAAATAAAGACAATAAAAATGGAGGGATTCCCACTGTAGGCCAATAAAAAGATTGGGTTAAGTTGTTGTAAAATTCTGACATGTCTTTCTAAAAACAGTTACTGAGCTACTGACACGGAACTTAAACAAAATGCAAAAGATTACCAAGACTTTTTACTAACACACAGTTACTAATCTGATTTTCCATTTCTCACTTCCAGTTGATTTTATCAGCAGTGACCAGGTCACTACAACCTGATTACCTCCGCCAAGGAGGTAATGTTGTCTGTCTGTCTGTCTGTCTGTCTGTCTGTCTGTCTGTCTGTCTGTCTGTCTGTCTGTCTGTCTGTCTGTCTCTCTGTCTCTCTGTCTCTCAGTCTGTCTGTCTGTCTGTCTGTCTGTCTNGTCTGTCTGTCTGTCTGTCTGTCTGTCTGTCTGTCTGTCTGTCTGTCTGTCTGTCTGTCTGTCTGTCTCTCTGTCTGTCTGTCTGTCTGTCTGTCTGCCTGCCTGTCTGTCTGTCTGTCTGTCTGTCTGTCTGTCTGTCTGTCTGTCTGTCTGTCTGTCTGTCTGTCTGTCTGTCGGGATGTCGTTCTGTCTGTCTGTCTGTCTGTCTGTCTGTCTCTCTGTCTGTCTGTCTGTCTCTCTGTCTATCAGTCTGTCTGTCTGTCTGTCTGTCTGTCTGTCTGTCGGGATGTCGTTCTGTCTGTGGACAAAATTACTCAAGAACCTGTGGACGGATTGTCAAGGCATTTTTACCACATGTGGGGATTAGCCAAAGTAACACACCTGTAAATTTTGGTGAGGTTCCGGATCACGATGTGGATACAGGAATTTTTTAAATTCTTTTAACCCTCTGAGCTCGAAAGCTGTGATGCATTGACAGGGCTTCAGTAAAAAACAGTGACAGCTTTCAGTGTTCATTTGAACTGGATTGAACAGCAATTTTATTTACTTCCAAATAAAACCAGATTTAATGACGAATAATTTTTGCCATAATGTGCGCATTTTTACGCATTTGGTGCACAATTAGAGAACGTTGTGTGACCAGGAAGAGCGTGACTGCATCATGAAACCCATTTTTCCCATTTCCTCAGACACACCACATTTCCCAAACAACCAATCAAAACAGTTTCTCAGTACTAGGCTTGCAGAGAGCTGCTGGGTGGCCCTCAAAGTTTGGACATGGGAGAACAGATTCATTTTGGCATTTTGGAAGCTAGCGGGTTAGTTTTTAGACCAGACAATGTGTGAGTGTGTGCGCCAAGGGGGAAGAGGTAATGTTTTAATTGCTGAAAGCGCTCACACGCTGTATTTTGCTTCTCACTTCAAAAAATCAATAAATAAATAAATAAATAAATAAAACCTTCATGAGCCGACTGTACCAGGAAGCACCTCATAAAGACAGTCAAACCATTACGAACTCATAAAAGGGGATAAAACAGACGTTTTACACAGTGGAATGTGACTGATGAAAACTTAGGACAGGGCTATTCAACTGGCGGCCCGTGGGCCACATCCAGCCCGCGAGAGACCAAAATTCGGCCCGCCAATTGGTTCATTCATCTCTTAAGCTCAAACCCCCAGTTTTCTAATTTAATTACTTTAAGTACTTTTAGTTAGACGTAGACATGTTTGGTATCTACAGAACCATCAGAATCTTGGCTACAAGCTGTTAAAACCATTTCTATGCACACTAAAGACAGTTAAAATGACAAGCAGTTGAAGAAAGAACTATGAAAGTGAAAATAAAATTGGTTTAAAACTTGGCAAGTCACAGATGTCAAAATAATATTTGTGTTAAATAGGGGGTACAATGTGTTCTTTTTGGTTTTGATATTGTTTATTTATCACTACTTTTATAGGGTTCTGCATGTTGTATTCATGATTAAATGCAGCAAAATAAACTATTAAGGTAACAGATCTTTGTGATACTTGGTTTATTTACATATTAAATTTAATTGCTGGATGTCCAGCCCCTAAGCTGTTGGCCTGCAGTAACTGTGGCCCCTGGAACAGTTTAGTTGAATAACCCTGACTTAGGAGCTTAATCCAACACCACTTAGATGATGAATAACGTCGGGTGACGAGTCTGACTTTTGTTTTTTTAACATTGGACTCCACTAGGAAAAAATCCCGTGCATACTGCCTGTTTAAATGTTCGCTATGTCAGAACTTCATCAGCAAATGTGTTTCCATCTCTGCCTTTGTG